TTTATACAGATCTCGCCGCAGTGATTTTCCAATAATTTTGACTCACACTGTAAGTCCTATAAGTTAGGTAGTTTAAAAAACTAGTGATAGGATTTCTACTCCTTATAGTCTTCTGATATCATAAAGAAAAGTCATTAAGTGACGGGTTTCTGGGTATCAGATAAAAAGTTAATAGGCTAGCATTTAGTTGTAATCAATGTATTACAAAGGATATTTGATGTAATGTAATATTAAATATCAATAAAGATTTGCATCTAATGTTGTTTAACTATAAAAAAAAAAAAAAATTAGACAAAACTTTACTGATTAATATAAAATAATAATAATATATTAATTATTTTTTAATTATATTATTATTTTATTATTTTAATATTATATTTTCTAATATTTTTATATTACAAAAAATAATTTATAAAAATTATAAATAATACTATTTCAATTTAATACTTGTAATATATATCTTTTCTAAAAATTCAATTTTTATTGTATTAATTTGAAAATTTTAATATTAATAATTTATAAAAATCACAGGTAATAAACAAACTGCATAATGGATAATTATAAATTGTTACTCTAATGAGTTTATTATAGAAAATAGATTTGAAATTATGTAAAGATAATATTTAATATATAAAGTATAAATAAATAAATAAAGTATCATATACAATAATTAGCTATAATTACTATATTAACATCTAACAAATAGTCGATTTTAGTCAATATCGTTCAAAAAAGCAAAACTTTCAAGGTTTGTCCATTTTCCCGGTTTGAGTGGCAATCATTAGACCCTTCTTAATTTCTTAATTCAAGCCTTTCAAGATTTTTTACGCTAATAAATTCCGACTCTGATGATCAGGCGTAGAATGTGGCTTCTAAACCTTTTTTTTTAATGAAATCTCGATAACTTCTTGTTCTCGTGACCTTCATCCATGAAGTAAAGTGAGAAAGTTGTTTTTAATATCTAAAGTTAGAAATTTTGTTTCGTGTTGCATGACGATCAAACTTTTTCCAGTTGACATCATGTGTAGCAAATCTTTATTTAAAGGTAAAGGGAGGGACAAAGGAATTGGCTTTTTCGATTGCCTCGTTTATTAAAAACTCCATTTTCTATTAATTACCAACTCTGTGGATTATTTATATCAGAACTTAAAAGAACGCGCTCTCATTGATACTTCGAAAAAAAATGCAAAAATTTTTTTACACGATTTCAATATTACTGCTTTCAAACTGCTTGAGTTTTGGTATTGCTGTTTACCGTGATCCATCCTGCGGAACTACACAAGACCCATGTGACAAGGTGAACTCTCTGTTAGCCCCTTGCGGTATAACTGTTCCTTCGCCACCTGCTGGTACAAAACAGTGGGGGCTTTACGTTAACGGCAAGTCTTTCATTAACATCGATAACTTGATGTAACAATTCAACGACATATTAATGGAATATAATAAAACAGCTGCCTATCTCACAAAATGTGCGTGCAACAAAGTCTTTTATGATTTACTGGTAAAGTGCACAACTTGCATGAGTACCGATACTACAACAGTCTACACCAAAAATCAGCAACAATACGAAGCTGACTGTAACAGTTTTGGTGCAGAATTTATGGAAAGCGGGTAATTGATTTATAATTTTTTATAAAGAATTTCTAGTAAACCATCTTTTTATATGAAAAGTTTATTTTCATTAATAGTTCTCCCACCAGTGGTTCTACAACGCAAACATCATCTATAGTAAATACTGCAGGCAAACATGTAGTAATAATTGCTGTATCTGTGAGTTTGGGTGTCGCATTTTTAATCGGAATCATATTCTGTTTGTGCCTTATAAGACACAAGCAAAAGCAAAAACAAGAAAAACGAAACAAAATAAGGCAATATAAAACTTAGGTGCCATCCATAATTTACATTAAACAAGTATCCTATACATGCACATACTGTATATACCGGCAAAAAAATAGAAAAATTTGCTTTTCCAATTATTAATTCTTAAATTATTTTTTGAATTTAAGTTAATTGAAAATATGTCAACCTTATAATTAACAAATAACACAAAACATTCATTTGAAATGTATCAATAATTATATCATTTATTTATTTATTTTTATTTAGCATTGGTTTTATGTTTTTGTTTTATATTTAAAAATATAAAAATTCTTGAAATTTTATTAGAAAAGTTATAAGAAAAAAACAAGTAAACAAATATACAGTTCCGGCAAAAAAAAATGACACATATTTAATCATAATTTAATCAATTTTTATTAAAATTTAATAAAATTTTAATTATAACTAGCTAAAAATATAACTTATAAAGTATCATTTTTAATAATCAATTGTGTTACCCTTGCTTTGATAACTAACTTTAACTGTTGTTTCATAAATTTTGCTAAATTTTGACATATAGTGACATCAATTTTTTGTCATTCCTGCACAATTATAAATATAAACATTTGCTATATCACTTTTTTTTTTCTTCAATAAATATATTTACTTTCTTTTTCACTTTTTTCTTTATTATTGTCCATAAATTCTTGATCGGATTTAAATCCAGTGATAATGACAACCAATCGAGAACCCACAAGCATTATTCATAAAGAAGAGCAATTGTAAGCTTAGCAGTATGCTTTAAATCATTATCTTGTTGGAAGCTTTACATACTGCTGAGCTTGTTATATATTTATTTAAACAAATTTTCTTATAAAATGTTATAATATCACTTGTCATTCATCTTTTCTATAAAGATATGAAGCCCTATTATATCACTTGCACAAAAAGCCATCCAAATATAAATTTTATAAAGATACTTAACCAATTCATAACTTGGTCATGGTCTTTCAGACTTGTATCAAACCTGCATTGTATTATAAAACATTTAGAATGTTGCCTTGTTTAAAAAAATAGAATTATTTCATTGTTTCCTTAAGTATAATTTGGCCTGCTCAAGCTGATGAAACTTCATAGCTTTTGTTAAAAAATGAATTGTACAGGAAATATAAACTTTAAAATCAAGTTTTTGAAGATTATTATATACTGTATATAGAGAAATAATAAAATTCAGATAAGTTTTTTAAGTGCTTCTATTAATTCCAAGCTTGTTACCTAGTTTTTTCTTGTGGTCATTAGGCCAAAATACTTCTATTGTATTGTATTAAGTCAATACGAGCAGCTTAAATATTGTCTTTGCTTGAAATCACCTGTTTGGACAAGTTAAGCAACTCATCTAAATAGTATTCTTCTTGAATATAGGATTATTTTTTGGAATTTGCTGACTTTTTTATGTTCTTGTTCTATAAAGACTTAATAACAAGATGTTTCTCTACCAAAGTAACTATATATTATACTAAGTAGTACAATTTTTTTTTTGACTTTAAAATAATCAGTTATTAACCAAATTTGTCAATAGTATAATAGGATTTGTAATCTAATTACTTAATTTTTTAAAAAATCAAGAATGCCATTTTTTTTTTGCTAGAATTAAGGATCCTAACAATTTGATTCAATTTAAATTTAAAATAGAATTGAAATTGAATCAATTTAAATAAAATTAATTCAATTTGATTCTATTCAATTTGATTTAATTCTATTTAATTCAATTCGATTCTATTTAATTCTATTTGATTTGATTTGATTCTATTTAATTTAATTTAATTTAATTCAATTTAATTCAATTCAATTTTATTCAATTTAATTCATTCAATTTGATTTAATTTTATTTAATTTTATTTAATTCAATTTAATTTAATTTAATTTGATATAATTTTATTTAATACAATTGAATTGAATTTAATTAATTTTATTTAATTTAATTTGATATAATTTTATTTAATACAATTGAATTGAATTTAATTAGTTTTATTTAATTTAATTCTATTATATTTAATTAATTTTAATTAATTTATTAAATTTTTATATATTAATATATAATATCTTCAGTTATAAAAAATAATAAAAATAAAAACTATTAGCAAAAAAATACTTAAAATCAGATTTGATCTAAAAATCATATATTAAGATATATAAAATTAAAACAAGTGGGGAATCAGGTTCTGTAAATCTGATTAATTCTTACTTTTTTAAAAATGAAATATGTGCAAATAGCAATTTTGAAATAGTATTTTATAAGATGTGACTTTAAGTATATATGTTGTTTTCTGTAAAAGATATTTTCTATCAATTCTTCTAAATAATAAATATATACAAGTGTTAAAATTCTATTTTTTTTTTGTGATACTTTTTGTAACTTCTGATAGGCGTCAAAAATTATAATTCGGTAATTTGCAGAAAATCGTAAGGGGCTAGTGCAATATCTACATTTTCAAAAGTATTTTGCAAAAAATTTTTGATCAAAATAATATAGACAGCCATAGAAATTATTAGTTGCATGTTGAAAATGTTCAAATTTGAAAAAAAGCATGTTGTTTGAAGTAATTATTCTTTTTATAGATTTTTGTAAGTATTTTTAAGATTCTGGCAAATTTTATTATATTATATATTTAAGGTCTTATTAAAAATCATCAGTTAAATAATCTTTATTCAAGATAGTATCAAAATGTCTTGTATCCATAGAAATTCTCACCAAGTTTCACTTCATTGCTTGTATTGGGACTTTGTTTTCTGGTTGCAACAAAATTCTGAAGCTAGTGTGAAGTTTAATTTTTTAGAGGAATATGTCTCTTCTCTTCATCAAGAAGTCTTGAAGTTGCAATAGTCTCGTCAACATTTAGCAAGAGAGTTGGAGAGTCTTTATCAAACCAGAAACAGTTTTTCTCAAGCTATAGAATTGAAAAGAGAAATAGTCAAGCTTAAACTGAAGATAGAAGTCTTGCAAAAGTTGCTTCATCAGATGTCTTCTTTGCTTCTAGCTGGTTCTGGAAGATGTTTTTCCATTTAGGTTTGATTTCTTTCTTTATTTTTTTTTCTCAAATGATTATTTTGATTCATAAAAGAGAATATGGTAGATGCTAAGTTTGCTCACTGAGCTGGCAGTAGTATGTGATGTAGTTACTTTCTGGGTCATTCATACTACACCATGTTCTCTGCTTGCTTTTCTCTCTTTTAGACATGATCAAGGGTCTAAGAATGCTTGTTCCGGACAAGTTGAGAACTGGGTTACTTAAGTATCTGCATCCACATCGTGTAACTTGAATACTGAACTTTTCAGTAACTAAAGGATGCTTCTTTCTATATATGTATGTTAAGTTCCTATACTGATTGGTCAAAATATGATTTCAAGAGAAAAAGATTGATAGGGTGGCAAGAACTTTTCATTCCATTATTTTAAGCTTAAAGACATTATTGGACAAGATATCATAAATTTAGAAGTAAGGATCCTAACAATTCTCTTCGATTCTGTATTCGATTCTCAAGTTTATATTAAATTTAATATGTGGGTATACTCCACTATCATTTTTAATAATATTCTGAATCTTATGCAATTCCCTGCAATTCTATTCAATTCCAATTTTCAGAACCATATTTAGAAAGATTCTTTTTATTTTAATTTCAGTTTTTCTGTAAAGTGTTTGTCTCTAGCAACATTATACATTAATACCTTATCTGCGATTTTGAATTTCTTATACTTTGTTACTTTTTAATCAAACTTTTGTTT